CTAAGTAACTAGAGCAAGTTGGGTTAACTTTTGAATAACTAATCCATGTTACTCCTCTGTCAAAATTTATTAATACAGTTCCCTATTTTCATGTCTCCTGTATTTTGGAATTTCGGTGGGCCGAGTGAATCTGTTGGAGTGTATGTCGGGTAAGATTGAACATTTTTCCGTATGCAGTTCGGATTCACATTCTAACCAAAAGTCTAATGGGTAGCATTTCATCTTTGTTTATATGAGAATGTATTCGTTTTAATTACCCGATGTGGGACCGAATCCCAACACCCTTCCTCAAGTGGTAAATAGTCTGGTTTAGTTACTATACTTGTTGAATGAAATCGGTCTAGCATCTCAATTTATTTATAGCTAGACCAGGTGAATATTAGGATGAATCGAATCAGAACCAAACTGGGCTCCTATACCATGTTGGAATTTTGGTGAGTGATCGGGTGGAGTGTCTGGTGAGATTGACCACTGTTACATATAATGTCCGGATTCTCCTAACCAAAAGTCCAAGCTAAGAGATATTACTTAACCTTTTTTTTTAATATGGGAGTGGTATTCATTACAATCTCGGACGGAATCCCAACACAAATGCATTTCAAGGCATTGCAGGTTTTGAGGAGAGAAAGGCTCCTATCTTTAGAGGTAGCAGGCTTCATTTCTGTATCTGGCTTGCTTTAGTTTTTATATTGTGAAACATTTTTTGAATAAGCTATCGTGAATTAGAACTTTTTTATAGATTTGTAAGTTCAAAAATAATTCCCAAGACATGAAGTTTTTTTTTAATGTCAATTGTTAGAATGTTGAGCTTGCTTTATCAAAGGTTTGATGCATATTGTGTTTACTTCTGCTGTATTTTAATAAAGTCCCTAATTCTTTACCTTGATCTATCTCTTATGAGATATGTGTACAATATAAAATATATGTATCCTTATTTAAGAACTACATAATACTAATTCCGTTTATATATAATTTATACTTACGAATAACACAATACTCATTTCATATATGTGTGTGTGTGTGTATGAACATTCGACGTGCATATGTGAAATGAGCATTATATTGCTCAGAGATGTACGAGAAACAGTATATAGGCGGTTTTATGTACGGTATATATTGCCAAATTTGGAGGGATGGAATACTTACAATAATAAGAGGGATTGGAAATATAACACATCATACCTTCCAACGGCAAGAAAGTTGCCAAAGGAAAACAAAAGAGCAAACTTGATGGGCTTTGCAAAAACAACACATGACTACAAATGTAAGAGAGAAGAGAAGATTAAGAGAAAGATATCCGCTAGATAAAAAACATTACGTAGACCAAAGGGTGAATAAGTTTTACCAAGAACATACAGACCAGACCGGCTGCCATACAAGCAAAGAACGCATAGATCCTCTGATCAACCAAAAACAAAATTATAGTAAGAAATCAATATTGGGTTTTTTAGAATATAAGATCTTTCGGGGTTTTCGAGCATCGTAGCTTAAGCTTTTGATTGCTTTGGTTGTTTGATATGATTTTACTAAAGCCTGAATCTTTGAAATAAAACAGGGAAGCGCGAAGTTTATCACGATATTACTTGGAGATTTGAGAAAGAGCAGAAGCCTTCTTCATCATCCAACACCAAACCTTCCCCTTGTTCTTCATTATCATCATCTCTCCCCAAAATAGATTTCCACATTTCTGGGTTCACCCCAAATTTATCTCAATTTTGTGTGAATCAGAAAATGGGATTAATACTAATTATAATAATTCTTGAATATCAGATGGACTGCAAGAAATGAGGGCAGTTTTGGCTTTCTGACTTTCTTTAATGAAATCAATGTACAATATGTACCTTTTATGTTAACATATATCATAGTACACCTAAATGTCTATCATGTAGTAGTTGGTGAACAAACCTGAAGCTTATTGAGCATATATTTACAGACTAACTAAACAATTGCTTCTGTATGCATAAGATAAATGCTGTTTAACTGCTGATTTTCTTGGATAAATCCACGCTTGGGCTCTTCTGCATTCTTTCTTCTTTCTTCGTTCTTCTTCTTCTTGTTCTTGTTCTTGTTCTTGTTCTAATAGAGAGTTAGCTGCTGAGTTTCTTGGATGAATCGAGTTCCATTTTCGCAAATCTTCCACGGATCCTTGGTTGGTTGTCAGCTAATGTCTTCCTGCAAGCATACTGTGGAGAATGGAAAATATGAAGGGAGTGTTTCCAAGCTATTAATGACTTGAGCTAGTAAAAAAGGACTAAAGTTTATTCATGAGAAAATAAACCAAAATAGAAATTACATTTATCTTCCTCACAAAATTCCTCTTAGTCCTCTTGCTCCTGTATCTGGAAAGCTTCTCCTTTCGATCCTCAGAAATGCCATGTTGAGCGTTGAGGAGGCTTACGCTGCCTTGTCCAAGATTCTGTCATAAGAACAAGTAGTTCAACACATCAAATCGTCGATAAAGCCTTTTTAAAACGAACGCAATTATATTAAATTTACATTATAACTAAATATTCTTTTAAAAAAATTTGTGGTCAAAGTATTAGTTTTGGGAGAAAGAGAGTATATATAAGTTTGCCTAAGAGTTAAGGAGTATTCATGGGGTAACTAAACAAGACCTTAATGTCCCCTTCACTGAATGATCTTCTTATCCCATAAGCAGCAGCACTATACCCCACTCCATAAAAATCAAGAAAATCAGGCCCCATTGGAGCTCCTCCATGCACCATTTCCATGGAACATAGAGACTCAAAACTCTCGCTTTTCTGAAACGACGCCTTGGAACCCGACATTTCTCCGCAATTCTTGGAAATGGGATCCGGGACAACCTCGGACACTGAAGCTTCCACTCCTTTGGACAAAAGATCTGTGCTGCATCCATAGAAAACATCACTGAGGAGCTGTTCCTTCTCAAATGATGATTCGATTTCCGAGACCTTGAGAAACTCGATGGACACGACATCTTCGGCACACGAAAGCAGCGGAATGGAAGATGCCATTGGATCAAGATCCACAAATGGTTCTTCTATAATAGGTTTGGGAGCCTTGAAGAGGTCCCCCTCTCCTCCAAGGTCATATTCAGATACCACATATGCCTGTAAAAGGGATTGCCATATTAGGATCTTAGAAGATAAATAAGAATAGATGGACTGTAAATAAGAAAATAATTTCCAAAGGCCAACATTCAAGTGTGTTAGGAAATACTCCCTTTGTCTCACAAAAAACTTCATGTTTTTCTTTTTTAGATGTCCCAAAAAAATTTCTAATTCCTTGCAAAGAATTGAATGTGCCTTAGAAAATCGTCTCATATAAATAAAATTCACTCGCTCACAACACATTTTTAAAACTCTGTGAGAGTTAAACACAAAAATTTCCACTTATATGAAATAGTATAATACTAGAGGAAATTGACCCTATATTCAACGAGTGCTTCTTTAGTGCACCTTAAGTGCATATCATTTTTGTGTATCTTCTCACATAAAAATTTTTTTTCTTATTTTTTTACTACGTATTTAACAAAAAACAAATGCCTATTTAAATAATTAAAAAATATTTATTTTACTCATATGTAGGTTCATGATAGATCTTAGATCCACCATAGAATTTGCCATATTCAACATTTCCAATTATATGATCTCCAACAATAATGTACTCTATCATTTTCCATCCAAAATTTCATACTTCGTAGGAAGAATTTGAAAATAAAGACTTTTTTAGCTCCATAACAATGAACTGAAATCAAGTTAGTTGAATTATATTTATTTTGTCCTCCGTCTCATGATTTTTTTATACTTGATCGGTCTCAAAATTTGTTCATTTTTACTTTTCATTCATCCCAAAAAAATTCACACTTTTACATTTTATCATTTTTAGAATTTTGTAAACTCAAATTTTCGGGAACTTTATGGGCCGAAAGGTACTAAAAGGGAAAAAGGGAGGGATGGCTTTGTATATAGCTCTACAAACAGAGAAAAGGGTACGAGGAACTAATTATTGTGACAGTGATACACTTAATACACTAATCGCCCCAAATGAATGACATTGAAAAATAATACTCCCTCCATTCCTAAATATTTTTCACACTTGTTTTTTCAACAGTCGCGGAAACTTTTGTTTATTTCTACTTTTTCATTGGTTATTTGATAAAATAAAATATTCTTGACACTTCTTATTTCGAAAAACTTTTCATATACTTTTTTGATATGTAAATTTTATTTTTTATTTTTATACCAATATGTAAATAAAATGAATAGAAAAAACTTGATATTTTACCTCGGGAATAGAAGTGTGACAAATATTTAGGGACGGTGGGAGTAAGAAATTTTACCTGTTTGTATGTTTTCATTGATTACATGATAAAATAAAATATTCTTATCACCTCTTTTTTTGTAAAACTTTTGATATAATGTTTAAATATACATATTTTGTTTTTTACTTCTATATCAATCTTTAAATAAATTTAATTGAAAAAATTTAAATTTTTATTTCATTTTGCAAAAGAGTGATTCTTACATGGTTCCAAGGTCGAAATTTAAAATGTAGACCTTCTCACATTTTTCATGGGCTTGTATGTGGATATTTTCTTTTTTGCAAAAAGTTGACGTCTTTTATGTTACAAATGTAATAAGATCCATAAAATGAATATGGGCCTTAGATCACGGAAGAATTTGTCTTTGCAAAAAATGCTAATTTTTTTGGGACAAAGAAAGTATTAAAAATATTTTATCATTAATTAAATGCACAAGGATCTTTTGACAATGAGTTTCAATGTCATACTATGATATCGTTTCAATTGGAGCACCTAGAGTATTCTGATCGAAAAATTGATGGTTTCTATCCTTCTTAACCCCTGATAAACCTCTCAAGTCTGGTCCGACCTAAAATCATCCCCCAAATTTTGTTGATTTTAGGATCAAAATTTTGACACCAAAGAAGGAAAGTCTAAAACAATTTGGGGCTTACAATTGATGAAGGTACGGGGTGCGTTACAGCCGGGCCGGACTTGAAGGGTTTGTCGGGGGTTAGCAGCGTATGAACCACCATTTATTCAATTGGAGCACCATATGTACTGAATGTCATAATATGACATCAAAACTTAATGCCAAAAGAACCGCAGTGTATTACGCTTCTCTTTTTTAGGAGTGTAATCAAATATTAATTGGATGGGATCTCTCATTACCAGATCCATATCAGTTTATTTTTATTAGACATCGAGTTCGGATACGGATTTTGACAGATACTAAAATTCAAATCGTATTTGCATCAGCCGGAGATCGGTCGGATATGGATATATCCGTATCTGTTTCTAATTTTTAAAGTCAAATTGAAAATACTTTAATTTCCAATTAAATTAAAGTCAAAATATTATTCATTCAATAATAATTTGTTAAGAAGTGATTGTTTTCTTATTTTTTGTAATTTATAATGTTCTACAACAACTCTATATGGTAAAAAGATATACACAGTAGACATATTTTTATGTGTTTACACACATTTTATGTGTTTTTTATATTTTTAAGTGTTTACACCAATATTTTGCATATAAAAATGTCTTATACTTTGAGATGTCAATAGAAAAAAAAATATAAAAATAAAAAATTAGGAAAACTATATATAACGAATCCGATACACAGATAAACGGTTACTTAAATGGATGTCTATGAGGAGTGGATTATAAACTGATCGGATGTATGATTACCAAATTTGTATCTGTTTACCAATTCGATATAAATGAATAACTTTACATCTAAGTTCCCATAAGTTTCAAGGATGGAGATATAAAGAAAAAAAAGAAATATCTAACTAGAACTAAAATGTTCTCATGGGGGCAGTTCCCATGAAATTACTAAGCAGAGTAATGAGATGACTAATGGGTCGTACGATACAGTGTCTTGAGAGTATATGAGAAAAGAACCTTTAGTGTTTTTTATACAAAAATATAATATATGATGTCAAAAAATACTGAAATGCCAAATTATAGGACATCACAGTTCCAACACTCCTATTTAACATAAGAGATGTTATTTTTGTATAAGTTCAATATTTTAGTCTTATTTAGATATATTTTTTTTTAAAAAAATAGATACAGATAACATATAATGGAGAAAAAAAAGAAGAAAGAATCACCAGAGAAGCAATGGGTCCTTGAGAGAAACTAAGATCTTCAAATAGTTGTGGTGAATCTTGAGCTATGTTGTGGTAGGAGAACATTAGCCCATTGTTAGCAAACATTTCTTCTTTGTATCTTTCTCCACCTGGTTATATATATGAAGTGAAAGGTCTCTCTCTCTCTCAATCTATAGGTTACATACACAGCATGAAACAGCCGTAATGAAGGCCAGAGAGAGAATCTGCTTTGGTTCGCTCTAGATATACTTCTTACTACTATACCCGCGGAGAGTGTATATATATATATATATATATATATATATATATATATATATATATATATATATATATATATATATATATATATATATTTATTGTGACGTACTAGTGAGGAATCTGCGCCTCTATTGAGTACGTGGTCCCTACTAGCTAGTGGTCATTTGTTGGGGTATAAAAATTGTTTGACAACCTTCTATTGGTTTGAGTTTTTTATTAGAGTAAATTCTCTAAATATTACTTTATAAATAGGGGTTTTTCATAATTAGTCCACATTTATCAAATATTAAGTAGATAGTCCTTATTAATTTAGTATCATTTCACGTTTAGTCCTCCGTCTATTTTTTCTTCTCCGTGCCGTTAGACAATGACCAAACATGGAATGTTAGCCAATCAATAAGGATCATGAAAATAATATTTGATAAGATAGACTAAATATGGAAATTCCCCGTTATAAAGGACTATTTCAAAAACTTGTTCTTTTTAAACCACTTTTAATATAAAAAATTAACAGATAAGAAAAATGTATAACTGTAATTTATTTATAAAATAACAAAATTTGTACACCACAAAAAATAGTTTATCAAAACATTCATTTTTTTAATACGAGAATCTGTTTGAAATTGATAGGAATAAAAAAGAAATTCGAAGTTATTATCCCTTTTTAATAACATAAGAGCTTCAAATGTTTATCTCCAACCGTTAATAATTTCAATATAAAATACCACTATACAATGGCATTATGTCACAATGCAAACTCGTATTTTGAGGGGAAAAAATGAAATTCTTATTTTGAGGATCATTGTTATATTTACTCCTATTTTAGGTGATTTCAAATTACTTGTTAATTTCTGTATCTTCCAAGATAGTTCCCAATTAAAAAATTATTGTTTTGATAAATTATTTGTAATGATAATTTTGACTTTTTATATACAAACTACAATCATATACTTTTCATATTTATTAATACCTTCGTTCGTGAGTATTGATCCACTTTTGAATTTTTTGTCAAAATCAGCAAACTTTGACCACGAATTAAATATAATTAATATTAGATATTGACAAAAAATTATTTTTATTAGATTTATTTCATAAAATATTTTTAAAATAATATTTTATTTAATAAATATACCATATATATTTTATTTAACTATAGGTCAAATGGTAAAAATGGTTGACTACAAAAAGTTAAAATTGGACAAAATATTCAAAGACGAATGTAGTACTTTAAATATTAAAAATAGTTTTAAAAAAGTAAATTCTCTAAATAGTCTTTTATAACGGGGGAATTTCCATATTTAGTCTATATTATCAAATATTATTTCTATCTCCCGGTAAACCTCCCCACCCCGCTCCGACCCAAACCCACCATGCATCCCTCGTCAATTACACCCCACAAGATTAAGTTGACTTTGAAGTCATATTTTGACTCTAAAGTCAACTAAATCATGTGGGGTGCAATTGACGGGGGATGCGAGATGGGTTCAGGCCGGGGCGGGGTGGAGGATTCACTGGGGTTAATGGGCTAGGAGCAATCAATTTTTCGAACAGAGTACCATATGGACCTCGGGTCGTCCTATGACATTGATTTCCAATATCATGGTAACCAAGGTATTTCTAATTATATTGAGGGAATTTATTTAAAAAAATCACCTAGTAGGAACAAAATATATCGAAATCATCCTAAATAGGACTAAAACATAGAAAGAGTACCAAAATAAGACTTTCAGGTTTTTTTCTTCAAAATGGGACTTTAAACTGTGGTAATGTGGTTGAAATGTGGCATTGTACATGTGCACATTACTATATTTTTTGGTAATGTACATGACCTCTTCTGGTAATGTAAATGCATTTTAAGTCATATTTCGGGAATAAAAAACATAAAAGTCCTATTTTGGTATATTTTTCAATGTTTTAGTCCTACTTTGGTCTTTCTCCCTAAAATATACTCTCTCCGTCCTAAAACATTTTTCTCGTTTCTGTTTATGAGGTTTGACCGACTTTATTTTCAATTCGATTTATTTGATTATAGGCGTAAAATAAAAATATGAAATTTTTATATATAAAACTAAATCAAAAGGTCTACAAAACAAGATGTGACAAGACTATATTATTTTATAAAAGAAGTAACGAAAATAGGTTAAAAAAAGTGATTAAAGTTTGACCGTGTAAATAATAAGTGAGAAAAAATATTTAGGAGTAACTCTTTTTTTCTTTCGTTTTACACCGATTTTAGTTTTTCTCTCATTTATTCATTTATTTCCCCACAATTGAGCACAACAAACAGTAGTAGTAATGATTTCACAAGGATCCCCAAATATATTCTCTCCTACATTTCTAAATATCGGTAGAGTATATGATTCACAAGGATTCCAATTCCGGAAGGATTCCGTAAAGTGAAAATAATAGTCGAAAAATGGAATGGAATATATTGCAACTTGTGTTGTTAATGATGAAGGGATCTAACTGCACCTCGCTAATGGGAGCACTACTTGAAATTTGTTAGCGCATAATTATATATTGAATTTAGTTATGAAATCATTAAAGGGGAGGAAGAAGAAGAAGTATAATCTTAACTAGTTCCAACACTTTTGGCATTTTGAGTTCAGTATCTCGTCAATAGCTCACAACCATCATTTTGATGGGTTGACTAAAATATTTGTACACTGCCTTCAATTGGGAAAAGTAAAAGTTAATTAGTGCTCTTAGGCAATAAATAAGCATTGATTATGCCAACATTTTTTAAAACGGTACTTAGCATGGAATCTGTTTCCATAAATTTACTTTTGCTGTAATTAGTATGTCTTCCTTTCAAATTTAAAAAGTAAAAGTTATATGGTGTCCTTAGGGTATCACTAATGATTCTTCCATATTCTGTCTCTATATTATCAATTTTTGAAAAAGATGATTCGTATTCGCTATATTCGAATTCGAATCCGAATGCAAATCATATTTTAGATTCGAATGATTTTCGAATTCGAAAACAAATATTAATAGATTTGATTCGTTTATTATTCAAATTATTCGAATGTTATATTTTATAAATAAATTTATATATATTCTAATATATTAAATATTTGTGTACATATAAATTTATATATATTCGAATATTATAATTTATAAATAAATTTATATATATTCTAACATATTTTTACTACATTTTACATTATTATAAAATAATAATTTAATGTATTTAAGAAATTTGTTTTAAGAAAAAAATTACTAATATTTTCGAATTCAAATATTCGAATACGAATTCAAATATGTCAAATATCTATCGAATCGAATACGAATGTTTTTTAAAATTCGAATTATATACGAATCCGAATTCGAATACATATCACTTTAATCGAATACGAATCGAATAGTGATATATTTGCTTCAATTCGTATACACCCCTAGCGGTGATAATGGTAGCTAGTGGCGGGAAATGATCAACGGTTGTGATAGACATCAAACCTCTATATTGATATCTCTGAAATAAGGGAGATATTGAAACCCTCCATTTTGAAGATTTATGATATCTGGAGATATCAAATTCAATATCTCTTTTGGCTTCACCAAACACAGAAAAAGATTTTGATATCCAGAGATATCAAAACACATATCCTATTTGCTCACCAAACACGCCAAGGACTCATACCACGCCCGAGGAGCCTGTTTAAGACCATAGAGAGCCTTAGTCAAGCGACAAATATGACCAGGAAACTCCGAGTGAACATAACCCGGGGGTTGATCCATAAACACCTCTTCAGTTAACCTGCCATTCAAAAATGCATTATTAATATCAAGCTGACGCAGAGACCAGCGGTTAGCTAGAGCAAGAGTAAGAACCACCCGAATAGTGACCGGTTTCATGACTGGACTAAAAGTATCAAAATAGTCACGACTGGCCTCTTGAAGAAAACCCTTGGATACCAACCGAGCCTTAAACCGATCAACAGAACCATCGGCCTTGCGTTTAACACGAAAGACCCATTTGCACCCAATGGGATGATGTGTACCGCGAGGAACTCGCTGCCATGTGCCTTTCTGAAGAAGAGCCTGATACTCGTCATCCATAGCTTTCCTGCAACGAGGATCCTTGAGAGTCTGGGTTATAGTTTTAGGTTCGAGTGTTGGGGGAAGGGGATGGTGGGTAGTAACATGGACGAGCTTGGGGTTGGTAACATACTCATTATTAAAGATGCGAGTATTAGGACGACGAACACGCGTAGGTCTAGGGGGAAGGGGAGACACTGTGGGTTGGAGGACAGTGGGCTGGGACACACTAGGAGAGAGACCGGCACTGTGGGAAGGAGATGTCACTAGAGAAAGGGCGGGCTGAACCGGAGTGAGACCGGCACTGCCACTGGACATAGAAGGAGGAAGACTAGGAGGAGACAAAAGAGGTGGGACATGGGGAAGAGGCCTAGGAGGAGCAGAGATGGAAGGCGACACAGGGAGAGTGGGAAACGGAAAATGGGTAGGCACAAACTGAACATGTCGGGAGAGGTAGAGACGATGAGTGGATACGTCCAAACATTTGTAGGCGGATTGAGACATGGAATACCCAAAAAAACACAAGGAACGGACTTGGGCTGGAGTTTTTTTGAGGAGTAAGGACGCAACCAAGGAAAACAGAGACACCCAAACGGTTGGAGTTTGAGATAGTTAGGTTGCGCATGAAATAAAGCAGCATAGGGACACGCAAAGCGCAACAAGGGAGTAGGCATTCGATTGATAAGATAGACTGCAGTTGGAAATGCATAGGGCCAGTAACTAAGAGGCATAGAGGCGTGATGAAGCAGGGATAGACCAGTCTCGACCACATGACGATGACGACGTTCAGCAGAACCATTATGTTCAGGAGTATGGGGAGGAGAGGTGAAGTGAGAAATGCCATGGCGGGCGAGAAAGGGACGCAGTTTAAGGAACTCACCACCATTATCAGAAAAAATGGAGATAATTTTCCTGTTAAAGAAATTTTCAACCATGGTCTTGTAGTGAACAAAAATAGAATAAACCTCACTTTTTTGTTTCATGGGATAGAGCCAAACATATTTGGTGAAGTGGTCAATAAAACAGAACATAATATAAGTACCCATCAACGGAAACATCATTACAAGACCAAACATCAGAATAAAGCAATTGTAATGGAAATTGACTAACAAGAGAATTCTCATGAAAGGGGAGTTTATGACTCTTATTAATGGAGCAGGAAGTACAATGAAAATCCTGAAGAGCCGTAAGAGGCACTCTCTGATTACATTGCTCTAAAAGATGACAGAGAATTTTATTTGACGGGTGACCAAAGATATGATGCAGACCAGAGACAGAGAGCTGATTGACACGAGGCGGAGAAGCTGATATAGCATAGTAAACACCATTGTGAGTTTTACCCTGAAGAAGAGGCACCCCCGTTGTCAAATCCTTTACAGAAAAGGACGAGGGGAAAAATTCAACAGAAACACGGTTAGTTTTGCATAGCTGGGACACAGAAACAAGATTTGTGGTTAATTGAGAAACACATAGAACATTGTTGAGAGAAAGAGAACGGGATGCAGTAGGGAGAGAAGTATGGCCAATATGAGAAATTCGTAAACTCGTACCATTACCCAGATGAATCTCATCAGGACCGCCGTAATCGGAAAAAGAGTGCAAAGGCTGAGGCGTGGGAGACGTGTGATGGCTAGCACTACTATCGAGTGGGAACGGAGGGAGACGGCCCAGAGGTATGGTGAACAAATGGAGTGCTCTGACCCGAAGGGGGTGGCGACATGCCATGGTCACGAAGAAGGCGGGCTAGCTTGCGACAAACCTTGATGTCATGACCAGGAATTGAGCAAAACTGACAACCCCCATCACGAGGCAAAGTGCGACCAGCGCTATTAAAAGGACGTCGACCGCCACCATGATAGGCCGGAGCATCCCGTGGCACAGATCGGCCACTCTTGGAGAACGTGGCTCGCTGAGTAGAATTGGCAGTGGCCACAATTGTCTGAGTGGCAGCATCCGAAGCTTGAAGCTTTTCCTCTATGTCACGTAAGACATCACCGAGTTCGGTAAATAAGATGGTTTGCTCACGAAAACGAGCACCAGAGGTGTGGGGGTCATAGGCTTCGCCAACTTGATTGAGGACATGGACCACAAGATCCTCTTCAGAGATAGGATTTTGAACGAGGGCCAATTCGTTTGCCAGACTCCGCATTTCATGAAGATATTCTGTTATAGATCAATTCCCACGTGGATTTTTCCCAAGCTTGGACTTGAGACTAAGAACACGACCACGACTTGCACTCGCAAAACTGGAGTGCAAGTTGAGCCAAGCCTCACGGGCAGTACCTGTGTTAGAGATGAGGGGCTGAATTGTATCCGAGCAGCTGCCAAGAAGAGCTCCGATTATTGATTGATCTTGTCTGTACCAAACAGAGTAGCACAGATTAAAGGTGCCATCGGCTTGAGAGCACGACGGCGCAGCAACACTCCCATAAACGAAACCAAGAAGATCAAGGCCAATAAGAGTGGATTGAACTTGACGTTGCCAGATTGCAAAGTTGGTGTTGTTTAATTTGATGGGGAAATGAGTTTTGGAATGAAGTTGGACAATAGGCGTGTCTTTGGTGATAACCCTAGGAGGGGGGATCGCAGACGCCATTGATGGCGGTGATTGGCGCAGTGGTGACGCGGTGATGGATCGATGAATCGAAAGAGATTCACAACTCCGATACCATATAGAAGCGTAGGAAGCAATAATTCACATTAATCACAGATGGTGAATAAATAGATACAAGAGGTTACGGCAGGTGAGAGATCTACTCTATGGATAATTACAAACAATTAAGAATAATAAGAAGAGGTTAAGATAAGATCTCCTAACAACTATTCAAATATACAGGAGAAGATATATTAAATATAATTTAAGTATTATCCTTGATAAATGGACATGTTGGTTAATGAAACAACATATCAGTGGAACATTTGAAGATTTGGACTCAAATATTTGAATATAGGTATAGCAGTTGACATACAAACAGTTACCTTTGTAGTTTTGCAAGAACCTTTGTCTTCTATCACAAAATATTCTAATGTCTGAGATCAAATATTTGAATGTATAATTTATACATTTGAATGTATGTTATTTTCAACTTCGTTTACAAAAATTCAAAAGATTTTTATAAAACAATAATGTCACCCCAACCAGGGGGTTCCGTTCCTTGGACCACATACGCTACTCGAGGTAGGCACCTCTAAACTCATGCTATGTAATTTGTAATGAGAAATTTACCTAAATAGTACTAAAACATAGTGACTTTCCAAATGTAGTATCATATGTTTTTATTTCTCAATGTAGTATCAATGCTCAATGTCCAGTGGTCATTATTCAAGTAACACACTAAATGTCCAACATTACTTGACAATATTCTCGCCACTACACATTATTCAAGTACTCCCTCCGTCCCTGAGTATTTATCTACTTTTGACTTTATTTGGTCAAAATTGGTAAACTTTGACTTCAAATTAAATAAAAATGATAATAGATATTTATAAAAAAAAATAGTTTCACTAGATTTATTATATACAATATTATTAAAAAAATATTTTATCTAATTAATATACAATGTATATATTATTTAATTATAAGTCAAAAGTAAAAAACAATTGACCTAAAAAAGTAAGAAACTAAACAAAGACTCAGGACAGAGGTAGTACTATTATTTACAAGTACTACTTTGCAAAAGGACATATGTTTTAATACTTTTAGTGCAAATTTTGCACTTGTAATATGTAACATCCTTGAAGAAACTACACTCCTTACCACCAAACTCATTAAAAACTTTTATTAAAATATTGGATAAAGCTATTTTTACCCCAAAAATTTGTACCCCAACAAAGGGATCACCAACATTTTGTGTTGGAGTAATGCTAATTTTTGTTAACGCACCAACACTTTGAGTCAGTGTAAATTTTTGTTAACGCACCAACACTTTGTGTCAGTGTATTAGTGCATATCTTTGATATATAAATGAGGTACAAATTTTGAGGTACATGTAGGATTAAATTTAAAATCACAAACAATATTCATTCATTCTGAGAAAGCAGAAAATTAAAATCACAAACAATTTATATTGTGCTCTCTAAAGTCTAATCATTGTTTATTAAAAGTCAGCGCCGCCGTTCACCAATGACAAAACAAATTGGCAATTACTCGGTAGTGAAGAGGGAAAGTGCCACAATCTTTAATCTTTACAAGTTACAACAGCCCGTTGTATATTAGTAATACGGAGTATTTCAGCAGTTAAAACAACAGTGTAAACATTTTAACTGGCCAAATACGTCAACTGTTCATATAGTTTAGAAAATATATACTACTATTTTCATGATTTTAAAACTTATTTCTTGTTTTTTTAAAAAACTTATTACCAAAATTCTTATGATTTTAAAATGTTGCACATGCATCCTTCGACTATTTTCCGTTCACATTTCTTACAAGTCTTTTTTTCTAACCAATGAAATATGAAAGCTCACTATCCTCTTTTCCTTTCTTTTTAATTTTTGTTTATAAATCACGGTATTGTATATAATGTTTTAAAATTTCAAACTTATTTGTGTTTAAAATAAAAAACTAAAATAAAAATAAATTGTCATATACTTCATGTGTCTCAACTCTCAAGTTAAAAAATCTATTTTTTGTTTTCCAAAATAAAAAGAAAGTAAAAAAATGAAAAAGGAAATGAAGAAACAAAAAGGTATAAAAAAACATTCTTATTAAAAAGGTAAAATGTAATCACGAAGTAGACTAATAAGGCTCTTTTTGGGAATATTTAAAATGTTTTGATAATATTCTTTCAAGATGGAAAACATAAGGACATTTTTTTAAACAGACGCCCAACAAATTCAGAAAAAAATTATAAAATCAAATTTTTATTTTAAAATTAAAAAGAATAACCTTTAAGGGTCATCCTAAAAATTACTACTTTTTTTGGGTTAAAAATGCTTTAGTCTAAAATATGTAACTTTTTTTGGTTTCAGTAATTTTTTGTTAAAGTCATTCTTACAAAAAATTTGATTTTGAAAATAGTTCTTAAACTAATAAACATTACCAATTTGTTGAGATAACACATTTATTTCGTATTCAATATCCTAGTCTTATATTTCTAAATACCTCAGACACAATTCCAATATCCCAAGTCTTGACTTTCAGCAAATTACATCCTTGTTGGGCGTGTCGTGGCAACTACAAATTAATTAATTATTTTCCTTAACTCTTAACCCCCTTTATGAATTAATATTCATTAAAACATATAGATAGGGCAAGTAAGGGTCGATCCCACGAGAAAAGATACTTTTTAGGCTATGAAAATCAGTTTACTTGTCACTTTTATTAACTAAAAACTAACTAAAACCTAAGAACTAAAACTAAAGGATATGGGGGGTTTGAATGATAATTCTAAAAAAATAAAAATGGAAATAAAATAAAGATAAAGGATAACAGATAAGAGATGGAACCACAACAGCAACTCGAACTCAGAAGAACACTCAGGGGAAAACGAACACACAAAAACAATCACACGGTAAACTTTATAAAAACTTAGACAATAATAATTAACATAAATCGTTTTGAAAATACTCATATTTTTTAATAGAAAATAAACTGAACAAATCTGATTAACTAATTAGTTATGTCTTAATTCTGAAATTAAACTGCTAATTAAACTCAAGGTTAGGTTGAAGAAGAGGTCCACCAACGGTTCTTCCCTATTTTCCCAATCATATTAACTCATGTTAAGACCAACCCTAACTTTAAACCCTACTACCCTTAGCAACCCAAACACCAACCCTTAAGTTACTACTAAGAATAGCACATTAAGATTTGTGGAAAACATCACCATAACAATCTTGCAGTAACACTACGGTTATTTAACAAAATCAGTCCGAGAACCTTGATTAGCAAAAATCACTTAACGAGGCAATCTAGTACTAATCAAGTGACACTTAGTTTCTAGAAAAGTTCAACTATTTAAAGCACTTTGGATCAGACTTTAAAAGAATATCAATTTAAATTGGATTAGGCGCGCGTTCCTAATTTTGCCCAATTTAAGTAAAAATCTGGTGAATAATAGTTCTCAGAACACCTTTTTGAGTTTAGATTTAACAGTAGCGTAAAGCTAAAATTCCTTCAAATATTTTGTACTCTAAATATATCTTGAAATTAAATCTGCGTCAAGGAAAACAATACTTCTAAATAATTGTCAAATAAAAATATGTTCAAAATCATGCATTTTATGTATAATTGTCAAATAAACAGTTGCCTAAAGTGCTAAATGGAACAAAATATGATTATTTATGTATAAAATGTATATAAAATATCATAAAAGTACTAAGAAATGAGAGAATAAAATATGACATCCAATGTACTCCCTCTGTCCCCCTGTATTTGTCCACTTTCATTTTTGCACATCATCCAATGCACTTCTTTAA